AAAAAAAAAAAAAAAAAAAAAAAAAAAAAAAATTAACTCTATGTTGAAAAATGACAATGCCTTGACTGGATGATCAAAACACTCCCCACCAATGAGGTACGGGAGGACTTTGTACACTTCTAGATATAAACCCCTAAAAATGACACGACTATAATATCATACCCGTGGAGGTATATACTAAATCCAATCGTGAATAGACAAATTCAAAGTGAGAAGTTTCTATGAAAAAAACATTTCAAGACTAGTACATTGTATTCCATACTGAAGCACTAGTATATATAACATGAATAAAGGATCAAGTGACAAAATTGAAATGTGGGCAATAAATCAAGGCAGAGCTGGTGAGATAGCTCACAGGACTAAGTGCCTGCTGAGGTAAACTCAGGGCCAGCAGGATCGATCCCCGATCCTGCATGCCATGCTGGCCCCACTCCCAGGGCACACTGAGCCAGCAACAGAGTCTGGGTGGTGTGGCACATGCCTATAATCCCAGTGCTAGGGAGGTTGAAAACAGGAGGATCATTACCAGTCTGAGCTGCGTAGTGAGACCCTATACCAAATACATAATGAAAAAAGAAAACAAAAATAAAAAAATAAATCAAGACAAAAGTACCCTCTCAATGTTATAAATTCCATAACGTTGCTAACATCCTTATTTTCAAGACATAGAAAGCTAACTATTTAGAGGTAAAGAAGTACTATATATTTAACTTACTCAGAAATTATTCAGCAGAAAAAACGTGTGTGGAGACAAGAGACAGAAGGGAAAATGAGAGAACATGCAAATGGGCAAAATATTACCATCAGGTACACAGTCTGCCATACCCTTGCAACCTTTCTTTTGGTATGATGTTATTTCCAAATTTACTAGTAATTTTAAAATTCTTACTGCTGTTTTTGCTCTCTTGCTTGTTTCTAACTTTTTGTGTCTTTTGCCACTTCCCTTATAACCAACTTTTCCCTTGGGGTTTTGCAGTACATCTACTCTTATTTCCACTGGCTTATCCAATTCCTTTCCCATTCTTTCTTCCTTACTGCAGGTTTTGCTTCTTTCTCTGGTGATTCAGCTCTCATTTTCCCAATGTTCTTTCACCTGCCTTTATAAAATGGCATCCTCTCTTATGTCTCTCTTTGTCACTGTTCCCACAAGAAGTGCTTCCATTTCAACAATTATCTTTGGAGGCCAAGTTGAAGTTCCTAGCTTGGCAGCTACATGGCTAAACCGAACAGCAATGGCTCAAAATCAGTCTGATGCCAACAAGTAGAGATGTGAGGAGATTTGGTGTGCCACCTTGCCTGCATGACAGGCAGAACTTCTGGAAACAGCCTGTGTGTTTACAAATAGCTATTACCAGGAATGCTGAATGAGGAAGCACCTATACAAGGGGTTTACTGCTGGTACAAACACTTCCTCCCCTAGTAGACAAGATTCCCCCAAGCTGACATGAGCAAGCTAGTGCCAAGTGCTATAAGCATAATACTGAGTATTTCAAAATGTTATACTTTAAAGATTGTACGCTTACGCCTTCTCTGTCTTGAAAGATTTGTCACATGCTGGGCAGTAAAGATCATCAAGAAACTCAACTTCTTCGGCCTCATCACTGTCTTTACCTGTGAGAAGAAAGCTTATTGTAAGAATCTTGTTTGGTCAGAAAAGGGGTCCCCAGATCCCCAGGCAATGGATCAACACAAGGCTGTTAGGAACCAAGCTAAATAGCAGGAGGTGAGGGCTGGGCCAGCATGGGAAGTTTCAGCTTTCCATTGTTCACGTTACAGCCCAAGCTCAGCCTCCAGAAGGATCAGTGGGTATTAGAGTCTCACAGAAGCACAAACACCACTGTGAACTGTGCATGTGAAGAATCTAGGTTGCGCCCTCCTTGACAATGTAATGTCTATGATCAGAAATACAGCTAAGGTTGGTGACGCAAGTGCTAGGGAGGAACTGCTAGTAACTGTATAATTATTCCATTAAATAGTACAGTGTAATAATAGAAATAGAGTGCACAATAAATATAATGTGCTTCAATCATTCTGAAAACATAACCCCACATCCCATCTGTGGAAAAACTGTCTCCCATGAAACCAGTTCCTGGTGCCAACAAGCGGGGGACTGTGCATTAGAACACACATCTGATGTATACTAACAAATTATGCCTTTTTATTAGGGACCTAAGGTTGCACTAAATTAGAAACTAAAGTTTGTTATTTTGGGGTTTTTTTTCTACTTCTTTGCTAAAAATAAATGGCATCAGGATTTAAGCTGGCCTTTCAAAAACACTGTATTATAAAGGCAGACTTCAGAATAAATTGCCTCTCCTTTGAAATTCTACTCACAAGAAGATTCAGAAAATTCTCAAAATCCTGGGTGTAAACCCAGTTTAGTGCCTCAGCCTTGTAATCCCAGAACTCTGGATTCTGAGACAGGAAGATCATTATGAGTCCAAAGCCAGCACAGACTACACGGGGAGATCAAAGTCAGTCTGAATTGCATAGCAAGAACCTGTCTCAAAACAAAAAAAAACCAAACGAAACAAACAAAAAACCAAACACCACTCTATTCTTATGTACTGAAACTTAGCTTACAATATTGTATCATTATTGGATAGGCCAGAATTACACGTAGAGTCTAGTCTTTGAAAATTTTTTTCATAAACTGAAGCCTTGGCAGACAAGAATAAGGAGAAAATGTGGTACACAGATATTTTCAAAAATCCCTCTCCTTTGCCTTTTTGAAGTCACTCACCTGTATTCCAGTGACAGAGACAGAGAAAAGAAACATGGCACAACCAGGGGAACCTCTCCGTAAAGATACAAATGAGAGAGGAACTGTTTGTACATACTGCGAAGATTCCTGCACAGTATCTGCTTTTCTGAAAATAGTTTCTATGAAAACCTGAGCTACTGCTTAACTGCACTGTATATACTAGCTGGCCCGTGGGTCACACCTGTGAACATGCTTCCCTGCCATTTTACTGATGCAGTCAGAAGCACAGACCATTTAAAACACAGGCTGAAAAGAGTCTGTTAGACCAAATTGTCTGAGTTGAACATTTTGATATACTGGTTTTATGAGGACCAAACAATACTTTAATTATTTGCCACATTTTGGAGATAACACACACACACACACACAAAAACCACCCAATTAAGTTAAAAGCAAACAAAAAAATTTAAAACTGGCACCATCTTGGCAACAACTGACTGGAGCACTGGCGCTCTGGGTTTTTACCCTCTCTAGTTCCTTTTTTAAAAATTTATGTATTTGGTGCAGGGTCTCACTATACAGCTTGGACTCATAGTGATCCTTCTGTTTTCAGCCTTCCCAGCACTGGAATTACAGGCACGCACCACCACGCCCAGACTCGGGGGCCAGCTCAGCGCATCTGGGGGCAGGGCCAGCCAGTTCCTCGTTATTTGAAATATTGGTCCCTTTACTGACTCCCTTTATTACTCCCTTTACTGACCAATTTGAAATATTGGTCCCTTTGATGGCACTACGCATTAAAGTGCATATCCTTATACACAGGTACATTTTCCAAAATTTTGTAAGAAAACAAGAAAAATTACCATCCTGTCCATCTTTGAGCTCATGTTCCTCTATTTTAGTTTTATCTGATCCATCTCCAAACTCCTTTTCATACTGTGCCTCCATCTCCTGCAGCTCCTTCTCCATACTGGCCATGGTCATCCAGCTCTGTTCTCTGTACTGCTCAGCCAGTCTAGACATACAAAGCACAGTGCATGAATGCTGATGATTATGTCTGGTTTTCACTTCAGAAGCTAAGGTTGATATCCATCCCCTAGAGAGCTCCCAGTACTTACAAACCTCAAAATCTATAGTCAGTCAGAAAAAGGCAGAGCCACTGAAACCCATCACCTGCTTCGTTTTAATTGCTCTTGCAGATAATATTCTAAATACATTAGCAACTTTTTAAAAGTCATCAGATGAATTTAAGTCCTAACTATCATGTAATACACTAACTTTCAAAACATGATGAGTGAAGAGAAATTTTAATAAAGAAACCATATGTAAAAGAATGCCATAGCGAGGCACAGCGGTATACATCTGTAATTCTGGTTAATTTAAAGAGAGCAAGACAAGAAGATCACAAGTTTAAGGCCAGGCTCAGCAACATAGTCTATCTCAAAACAAAATACAAAGGCCTGGGAATGTAGCTCAATGATAGAGCACTCACCTAACATGTCAAGGCCCTGGGCTCTGTCCCCATTAGGGGTGGGGCTATAATGCTCTACACTTAATACTTTCACAGTAACACTGAACGACATAATTTTAAAGGAATGGAAATGAACTGAGTATCCCAGAGTACCAGTAAAGAGGAAGCACTGAATGGTTCAAAAGCAAGGCTCTGGAACTGAATTCCTGGCCCAATTTCCCAGCTGAGTGACTTAACTATTTGACTCTGGGCCTATCGGGCTCATTTCCTCATAAGAATGAGGAGACTAAAAACCAGAAGTTACCCTACAAAATTGCTGTCAGGAAAACACTTAAATTAGAGTCTTATACAAAGAACAAACTCAGTTAACATTAGTTATACTTAAATTTCATAGGAATCTGAATGACCTCAGGAATAAAAGAGCTTTGAAAGAAAATATCCAAATTGAAACTTTTTACAGTCAATAAAAAAACGCTACCTAGATGCAACAACTTAGGGGGAAAAAATGGAATGGGGCCAGAATGGCAAATGAACTAGTTATGACAACCACAATGGTACCCAATGAGGTCCTTCTGCCCCCTGATGATGCTGAGAGGCTGAGAACAGGAGCCAGCACACATCACATACTTGGCCTGCTTGAGCTTCTGCTGCCGCCTCATCTCTTCAGCCTTCCTGGCCTTCTCAGCATTCTGTTCTTCTACAAGCTTCCGATGAGCCTGTACTCTCTTGTCTCTTCTACGAATAAAAGCTACCAGCTGGCGCACAAGCTCATTCTTCTCTTTCCTGGCCTTGTCTCGAATTTTTTTGTTTTCTTTTTCCATAGCTCGCTTTTCCCAGCGGTTTGAAGCTTGCCGTGTATCATATTCTTCCTTCCAGGCAAAATTCTTTTGAGTACAGAAACTCTGCCAATAAGCATAGAAAGGGTGGACTACCTAGTGACAAAGCAAACAGGTAAAATTCCGAGTTTTCTTTTACTGAAGTATTTGTAGAAAGACATTCATATTTACACATTACTCATGCAAAACATCTTCCAGCTATATTAGTCAGTCTTTTTAAAGCTTTCCAGAATAAATCAGTCTTCAAAAGATTTAATAAGAAAGGTCTTTCTGAGCACAAATGAGAACAGTACATAAACAAAAAAGGAAAACGGGGGGGAGGGGGTCCACTAAGAGAGCTGCATGTTCCTTTACAACAGAGAGGGGGAAAAAAAGGTCACAGGCTAAGACTAGCATAAGTTTTTTTAAATCAGAAAAACCAAAAAAAAAAAAAAAAAAAAGAACATGATAAATGCTAATGATAGGACACAATACACTATTTTTTTACCGTATCATAGTCACTCTGGGAGTCTCCAAAAGTTGGAAAATCGTCAACATCCTCCTCTAGTACAGATTCTAATTCTTCCTTTGCAATCATTTCAAAAACATTACGATACACTGTGTAAAAGCCCTGAAAGATCAGAAACACAAATTCTTATGTTTGTATTTTCATTGTAGAATTAAGATTTTAAAATGTAAGATGATAGACTTTAACACTGAAAAATTACAGTAATCAGGTACAAGTACATTTAGTTTCAAATGGAGGTTTTTGATGTGCTAATAGTTTATATACAGAGAATATATTTTTAGTTTTTAGCTTCACTTTACATTACAGATTAATATTTTTAAATTTTCATTTGCAACTTAACTGCTTGGCAAGAAATTAAGGGTCCATTTATCTTACCTTTTCATCATCTCCATAACCAGAGTAACAGGTAACAGTGAAATAGTGAAGCAAATCTAAACTGTCATCTTGGTATTCTCCGTCAAGCCCTCCTTTAAGTAAGGCCTCTCGATGATTATCATACCTTTAGGGAAAAAAAAAGGCACCACTAATTAAAGCTAAATAAATAAAAAATCAAGAGGGCTTCTTACTCTGAATCAGCCAAAGTATTAGTAGATGTGTATTCCCCTCACCTCAAATGTATACAGCCCAAAACCAAACACTTTTAAGGACATACTAGAATAGAGAAATTTAAATCTTTCACAGAATTTCAGATTAAAACTATGATGGAACATCTAATATGCTATATAATACTAGCCCATGTGACTAGGGAATGTCTATGATTCTCCCAGAAAAGTTGTTGCATTTCCACAAGAAAGATTACCAAGCAAGACAGCAAGAACATAATCTGCCCCACAGACTAACTACACACTTGTAACCTGGTAATTTATCAATATCCACTAGCGGAAGACCCTTATGTGTACATAGATTTAAGTAGGAGGTTTATACGCCCACATTACTCTCCATAGTAACTCGTCAAATGCAGTTATTATCATCAAGCAGGAAACAGAAGCTCGGCATTATTCGATAGTATATTTATGGTCCATAACCAGCAAGGCAGAATTCAAAACTAGGTCTCCTGCACTAGCAGGACCAGGCTTCTTGTCATGGTGCGGTATTACCTCCAAGTAACAGCAGTTTCTAGGTGGAGCTTTAAAAAGACCATCTTGGAAAAAGAAACAACTTACATCTAGGAAAGAAGCTAGACAAAAGGAATTCAGGGGAAAAAAATCTTGTTTAAGAGAAAGCAGCAGAGGGGGCCAGAGAGATAACTCAATAGAACCTGAGTTCAATCCCCAGTTCTGACAGAAAAAAAAGAGAGAGAGAAAGAAAGAAGCAGAAACCTAAGGTCAGATTTCTGAATTTCTTAAAGAAAGCTTAGGATTCTCTAATTTTCCTATAAAAATTTTTGGAAGAATTTTCTTGACAGCCTTTCTCTCTTGACAGGCAGTTGTTCTGTATTTTTAACACAGAGATGACTTGTACAGTATCTGCAAGCAGGCTCTTGCATGTCAGGGCTGAAAAGATATCCCTTTATAGCAACATGTTTATTAAAAATCTGAAAACTGGGGCTGGTGAGATGGCTCAGCGGTCTGGAGCACCTACTTGGAACAAGCTTGGCAAAGCACAGGGACCGCGGTTCAATCCCCCAGCACCACATGCCAGCCAGCCCCGCCCCCTGGTGGGCTGAGCTGGCCACACACACACACACACACACACACACACAAATAAATACAACTTTAAAAAAAAATCTGAAAACTCAGAACTTTAGACATGGTAATTTTTATTTGAAGCAGATTAAATCATCAGATCATTGTTGGTAAAACTATCTATCACAGAAGTAAAAGTCTAACAAATTTCTTCATATACATTTGTTCTCTGGAAAGTACTCTTAAACTGAAACACTTTAAAGATAAGTCTGTAAACAATTTCTAACAATAATTTACTGCTGACTTCATAACTCTGTCATATGCCAAAGGAACATCATTTAGAGAAAAATCATTTGAAGTATCAAAATTAAAACTATGTAATATCAAATTTTCCAATTCATTACCTGTAAGGTCAAATAGTTGGAATAATCATCTCTCAGGTTATTCCCTACTCCAACATTTCATTTTATATGGTGAACAGGAACATAGCAAAATCACTTAATGTATTAAATGAAAACAACCCCATGTAGAGAACTGCTACCAACAACAAAAGAAGGGAATGCACAATAACACAAAGCTCACCATGCTCTTTCCTGAGGGTCACTCAACACATCATATGCTGCTTGGATTAATTTAAATTGTTCAGCTGCTTCTGCAGCATTATCCAAATTTTTATCTGTAAAAATAAAGTCAGAGAAATTTAGTCATCAAAAAAGCAGAAGACACACTGTAAATGAGACTTCTTCCCCCCAAATGTTATAAACAGATGAAGAGTGTACAAAATAAAGACTAGGGAAACACAGATATCCCAGATTACAGCTAATAATCAGGACCTAACACAAGCATTTATTTTTACCCTGTGCTGTATCACTGGACATTCAACCTAGAAAACCTTACACAGTACACATTTCATTTTCAGAAGGAGTAAAATAAATATCAGTTACAGAAAGATTGTTATGTATTTAGTGCTAATTATGTTTAGCATTCACACTGCTATTAAATTTTTATCAATGTATATCTAAAATAGGTAGATGGATGATAGATAGCAAGGTACCTATGTTCACAAACTTAATTCTTTTCACACAGTTCTGGTCACAAACCAAACCAAATTTCCTCATAAGGTCAACAATGGGCCTAACCACTGAATTTGATCTGGTTTGTGACCAATTCAGTTTGAGGCTAGAATAGTGAAGTTATCAGGGTCACCTTCTTTCCTTAACTGTGTGCTTCATTAACCACCAAATTCAGAATGCACATTTGCCTCAGCCTTGGGGCATTCCATAGCCATGTAACCAACAGCAGAGGCAGACATACCGATACTTTACCTTTGAGATGAAGTTATGAAAGACTTCAGAAGAAAGTTATCGTAATGGTTGTTCTAATGTGTCAACTTGAGAAGTGAGAAGTTTAGAAGCTTAACTGACTCAGCAGTGGGCCATCATCCTCACTCTGTAAGCATCCAGAGCTTGTGAAAGAGGAGGGCTCCTGCATGGTGAGGGTGGATAGCCTGGGGGGCACACAATACAAGGAAAGAAAAGAGGCTTGCTTCCCTTCTCCTGTTTTGCTGTCCTCTGCAGCCTTGATCTGCTTACCTTGTGCCATGCCACCTTGTCTTAGGGCTAGCTCAGTATGGGCTGAAACTACCACAAACCATGAATTATAAATAAATCCTTTTCCTTTAATTCTGAGTGTCAAGTATTTTGCCTCAGCAATGGGAGAAAAGCAACCAAGACACTTAAGAAGTTATGAAAAATAAGTGTTCATCTTGGGCTCCGGCCCTGTCTTACTTAGAGCACTGAAGGAGTAGGCAAATGTCACAGCAGGAGGAGCTCAGTAGCCCAAGAAGAGTTCTGAGTAAAGTATGGAAGACCCTGGGGCCACAGGCAGTGGAGAGCTAAGAGTTGTCAACAACCTTATGCTGATCTATAAAAGGCTCAAGTCAACAACCTCTGACGTTGCCAGTCCTATGCATAACCCACTACTATTATGAACTACTGGACTATATTGGATTATTTTGCTGAATTCACTCACCTAAAATATTTAAATGACAATGGAATACCCTTCTCTAACAAAACTAAAAAAGAGGGGGGATACAAATGAAGGACCATTTTGTATCTGTACATACAAAATAGGGTAGATATACAGCTACTTTCTCTTAATTCAATGAGAAGAAAGATTTGTACTAATAGTGTTTGGACAGGATATCATGTCTGCATCTTGTACTATTAATAACCACTGTGAAGACAACAACATGTAATGTATTAACTATTGAAACTGTCCTATTAATCGGTTTTAAAACTGTCTCGTTGCTATTTGTTTCTCAAAAAAATTAATAAAAAATACAATTAAATTAGAAAATCAATCTTGTGGATGAACCTGGAAGCAGCCTGCTTTCACAGATGATACAAATTCACAGAAGTTGAACAATAAAATCAGGCAGCAGACCATTTCCAGATTCTGAGTCTCAGATACTATGGGAACCTACATAATGAGTAGATGCTTGCTGTTTCTATTTGTGGTCTTAAGCCCTAGGTCATCGCTAACTGTTACACACTAATAGACAACTAAGACATTCAGAAAGTAAGCTATTTTTCTTAAATTTTTTTTAAAATTTTATTTGTGTGTGTGTGTGTGTGTGTGTGTGTGGCCAGCTCAGCCCACCAGGGGGTGGGGCTGGCTGGCATGTGGTGCTGGGGGATTGAACCGCGGTCCCTGTGCTTTGCTAAGCTTGTTCTAAGTAGGTGCTTTTAGACCACTGAGCCATCTCACCAGCCCAAGTAAGCTATTTTTGAAGCAACTATGCAGCCCACCGAAGTTCTTTAACTTACAACTGAATACCTTGGAACAGGCTACACTATGATGACAGAAACTTACTCCCTGGACAGTGGTATAGATTTACCATTTGTGTAACTAGCTCTAGAGGGGAATCTTGCTACTATTTCTCTGACCCTGTCACACTGATTCCAAGTCCTACAGGTATCCTTCTGTCTAACACAGAACTCTAATACTTTTGCCAGTATGGCAATTTTCCATGGCTCTTCTTACTAAGATGCTTGGACATGAAACGCCTCAAAATGAATACATCACATAAAAATAATCACCACCCCACATCCTCACTATACACAAGGAATAACACAATGTGAAACAAACAACTTGCCATAGTGAGTCCAGCTGAAGACAGCTCTCACATAGTCTCTTGGCCCACCTCATCTCTGCCTTGGGCACTCCCATTTCCTATGTCACACCAAAATTCTTTACTAATCATACAATCCAAGATAGAAATTAAAAAAAAAAAATCCCTTGTTCCTAACACTGTAATTTTAATCACCTTAACTAGTTACTTAGCTGGTAAGCAGCAGCAGATTTGTCATGCTGAGTGAATACCTGACAAAGCTTCAACTACTGTTTACTGACAAGCTATTTACTAACTGTGCAATTGCTTACCTGGCCATGCTCATCTGTTCCCCAGGCTTTCTTTCCTTCCCTCCACCTGTATTCCCACTTCAGGTATTTACCTAAGTGTCACTTCTTCATTGACTCATTTCCTAGATGACTTGCCCTATCTTCCATTCCCACCCAAATGTGGTCCAGGGCGAGTACCTGGGATTACGAGCACCTTATATTTACCCTCACACAGCCCTTCTCTCACCAGCTGAAACTGCCCATTTCCCTATGTCTCCTACAGAATGAATATGTCATCAGGGAAAGGACTTTTCCTGCCTCACTCCCATGGCACTGGATTCGGAAACAGCTGTCAGGTGAATTATTGAAAGCCTGCTTTCGCAACGTATGATCTCACTACAAATGACTGATAATATTACTGGAGAAGGGGCTGGGGAGGTGGCTCAGTGAAATAAGCACTTCCCTGGCAAGCGCAAGGGCCTGAGTTCAATCCCCAGTTCCGCAAAAAAAAAAAAAAAAATAAATATATATATGTATTACTGGACAATATTCTCAGTTCCTCCATAAAAGAAACAAAAGTAATTTCTTTCCTTTTTTTTTTTTTTTTTTTAATAACACAGAAAACAGCGTTCCTACGAAAGAGTCACATTATTTTTGGATGTAAAGCTTAGCCCCAGAAATACTAACACAATTCCTCAAACATTTGTTAAGTGATGGACAAAATAATGAGTCTGCTAAGCATTCCAAAAAAGATAATGAGCCTGCTAAGCATTCCAAAAAATGTGTCCCAAGAGGAGAAATACACAAGCACATTTACAACCAAATGATATTTAGGATGCCATGAATTACAATTTCGAGAAAAGATATTTTCATTCAGCTCCAGATAGCTTTGGTTTCAAAGTGAGTATTTTAGTAACATTTCCATGCTTTGAACGGATTCTGAATTACTCATGAAATGTGGTGATTTTTGCTTTGTACTAGCTCTCTCACCTAGACCTTACTGCTACCCCTAGCCTGGAGCCTGGCCTGGCCCTAAGTGTCTGTGGCAACCTCTCCATGTTTGTCTCCGGCCCTCTTCCAGCCCTCAGCTGTCTTCATGGTACCTTCCCCCAAGACATCAATAAAACCAGCCAAGACTCCCATTATTAGCAAAATAAATAAACCATAGTTCTCAGCCTAATATTTAAAGTCTTTTACAATGATTCCGAACTACACTTCAAAAACGCTTGTTGAGGGGGCTGCGGAGATAGCTCAGTAGAATAAGAACTTGCCTGGCAAGAGCAAGGGCCTCAGTTCAATCCCCAGCTCTGCCAAAAAACAACAACAAAAAACATTTGTTGCAAGCAGATGCAGGGGCCAGGGGTTTCATCCCCGAGACCTATAGTGTTGGCCCTACCCCGGGGGCCCGCTAAACCAGCAGTTGAGACTGGGCTTGGTGGCTTGCTTGCCTGTAATCCCAGCTCTTGGGAGGCAGTAAACAGACAGATCACTATGAGTCAGATCTAGTAGTGAGATCCTGAATACCCTGTAGGCCCTTCCCTAAAATACAAAAAAAAATTTAAAAAGTTTGTCTTCAAAATTATGTATGCTTTTTTAGTCAGAGAATGAAACTTCTGCCTTTTTCCCACCCAGAAGATAAACTCCCAACTTCTAATTCCCATCTCAATTTCTAATGGTAATTCCCCATTCCTCTAAGAATATGCTCTACACTATGAGTTCTAACTTAATAGCTTTGCCTACAATTTCTGTCCAACTATGCCAAACATTTATCTCACTTATGCCTTTATTTACACACACACACACACACACACACACACAATTTGTATGTTTAATTCCTGTTGATACTTGTGTAACGTGTCACTAACTCTATTTCTTATTCCATAACCACAGACAACCCTTCTGTCTCTGGGGCCTTACATTTCTGGTGATCCCAAACTCTTATTTTTTCCATATAAAGTCCCTTTAGGCTAACTGTCACCTGGTAGGTATCTAGAGGGCCATTCAGTTTCGCTTACCCAAATACCGCAGAATCCAGCCAAGCCCCTCGGTGGAGAAGCCTCACTGTCGCAGGGAGCACGGACAGACAGCTCGCTCCCGGCATTCCTAAGGCATGTACTACTTACACTATTAACCCAACTCCCAAATACGCACGTTGAGACACACAGCGTGCACCTGTCAACTCTTCTATGTGTAAGGCATGTCTGTCCAGCCAGATTTTGAGGTCCTATCTTAGTCTTTCTGAATCTACACGCTACACTCGGTGTGTACTGGAGATTAACGTTTACCCATTAACGCTAAAACAAAAGCTCTTACTAGAAACCTCAAACAACAGATTCTACTACTCTCTTCGGCTCCGATCAGATTATTTCGTAAAAATCCCACAGGCCTGGATTACAACCAAACAAAACATCCAAAGGAAACACACTTAGAAGGAAAGAAGCAAACTTCACTAGGTTCGAACCGATAATAGGAAGAATCACGTCCAAGCTCAAGAACGGCTTGCGCGACCAGCCTGTGGAAGAAAAACAGCACTTGTCCTTGTGGAAAAGACTTTTTCCTTGCCCCCGCCGGCTCAATTTCAGGAAGGGAGCAGAGGGGCCGTAGTCCGGCTAAAGGACCGGGACCCCGACGGGCTGAAGAGGGCGGGCTGCAGGGGTCGGGACCCCGCGAGGGCGTCGGGAAGGGGCAGGCGGGAGGCCCGGGCGGCGGCCACCTACCCGGGTGCCATTTCAGGGCCAGCTTCCGATAGGCCTTCTTGAGCTCCTCCTCGCTGGCGTCGCGCCGCACCCCCAGCGCCTCGTAGTGACACTTCATCGCCGGGCCGCGC